AGCTCACTGCAAGCTCTACCTCCCGGGTTTATGCCATTCTCCTGCCTCAGCCTCCCGAGTAGCTGGGACTACAGGCGCCTGCCACCTCGCCCGGCTATTTTTTTGTATATTTTAGTAGAGACGGGGTTTCACCATGTGAGCCAGGACGGTCTCGATCTCCTGACCTCGTGATCCGCCCGTCTCAGCCTCCCAAAGTGCTGGGATTACAGGCTTCAGCCACTGTGCCAGGCCCGAATACACTGAATTTTAAGCACCACTTATACAAAATTCCAAATGCAGCATCATTATCAGTCCTGTAAGATGATAGAGTTATTATATTTATTAAGTCATCTCTATATTTTAATTACTTTAATATTAAACAAATGGTCTTACCCTATGGCACTAGCAAGATCTTCCCAGTCTATTTCATTAGTATCTTCCACATTTATTTCATACAACCTGTGAGAAAAAATACAAATTAAATTTTCAAGCAAAAATCAGCATGCTAGCCATCTTCATGGACACGTGGAGTGTTAAGAGCTGGAAGGTATCCATGCTTTCGCCCCATTCCAGCTCCCTCATTACACATGCACAGTGAGGCCAGCATCGCAGCCCAAGGTTAACCCAGGTCAGTGAGTTGCTGGGCTGCAGAGATGGGCTGAAAAGACCTCTCTCCTCCTCTGAGCCCTTTGTGTCTCTCACCAAACCATGTTGCTTTCTCACAGCAAAAAACACCACCTCATATTAAACATAGACACACAGTAAGAGGACATCTGTACTATGTGACAGACACTGTGAAGGTCTTTTTTTTAAAATACTGGGTCTCGCTGTGTTACCCTGGCTGGACTGCAGTGGCGTGATCGTGGCTCACTGCAGTCTCAACCTCCTGGGCTCAGGCGACTCTCCCACCTCAGCCTCTTAAGAAGCTGGAACCATAAGCACGTGGCACCATGCCTGGCTAATTTTTTAGATTTTTTTTGTAGAGACAGTCTCCACATGTTGCTCAGGCTAGTCTCAAACTCCTGGGCTCAAGCGATCTTCCTGGCCTCCCAGTGTTGGCATTATGGGCACAAGGCACCACGCCGAGCCGGTTAAGACCTTAAAGCGCACACATTCATTTATAGTAACCCTCCCCCTGACCTACAGACAGGGAAACGGTGCCAAGAGACTCAGTCACGGGCTCCAGACTGCATGACTAATAGGTGGGGCCAACACTGGAACCCAGGCCTGTTTGACTAGAGATGCCCTTCTTGGATCTGCTAATCTATGCTGTTGCTCTAGCAGGGAAAACTGGGTGGGGGCATAGGAAAGAGGATCAGGAAACCCACAGTGAGCCTTCGGCAGGGCTCACGCGTGAGGCAGAGGGAAAGAAGGCGGACAGCAGGGCCAGAACCTACAGGCTCCTGCTGCTCTTTGCTGTTCCTCAGTCGACGTGGGCCAGTTCCACTAGTCTCACGGGCATCACAAAACGGGCCCGTGTCTCCCTTTTCCTCGTTACCCTTCAACACTTTAGCGCGGACCCTGCATGGACCAGGAACTCAAAGACAAAACCAAAGACAAGCAAGGATGACACCAACAAGCTCATGCTGGAGCACAGGAGGGCTCTGTCTGAATCATTCGCCCCCATTTTCCAATGGGCGTAAATAATTTTATCCATATGAAATGCTTCAAAGACTAGAATAATTACATGGAGTACACAGTACGTTTCACATGTTATTTTCTTTTATCCTCCTGAAAGCACTAAGAGGTAGGTACGATTATCGTCATCCTCAGTAGATGAGTTAAGATGAGTAAACTGAGACTCAGAACGGTAGGTCATAGGCCCACAATACATGTGGGAAATGCTGGAACAGGGATTTGGACCTTGGCAATCTCACTGCAGACTCTGCTGGGTTAACAACTTCTCTCTGGCTAGAGACAGAAACAGTTAAGAGGCGTCCGTTTCTATTTTTCCTACCTTTCAATAAGGCTGACCTTGGCCCGCAGGGCATTAACGCCACAGTATATGCGCCGACCATTAGTCATCCTCTTGGTTAGAATTTCTGTCCTACATTAAAAGGAACAAAAACATAGTTTACTTTCAAGGGTAGAGTTTTCATTAAAATTTCCTATATTTTTCTCATCTAAATTGCTCTCATTCAGAACCAACTTCTAACTTTTCTTTTTTTTTGAGACCGAGTCTCACTTTGTCACCCAGGCTGGAGTGCAGTGGCATGGTCTCAGCTCACTGCAACCTCCGCTGTCCGGGTTGAAGTGATTCTCCTGCCTCAGCCTCCCAAGTAGCTGGGATTACTTACAGGTGTGCACCACCATGCCCAGTTAATTTTTGTATTTTCAGTAGAGACAAGGTTTCATCATGTTGGCCAGGCTGGTCTCGAACTCCTGGCCTCAAGTGATCCACCTGCCTAGGCCTCCCAAAGTGCTGGGATCAGAGGCATGAGCCATAGTGCCTGGCCCTCAATTATTTTGACTATTTATACACAGACAGGCATTGCTCTTATTACCATTACCAGCTTTGGAACATCAAGTAAGACAAATTTAGTAAAGTGAGAAATGATTTGATGATTCCTCTAATGCCAAAGCTAGTGGCTACAGGCTGAATGAAGTTTCTAGTAAAGGCAGTGACGCAATTAAAAAGATTTTAAAAGTACTTATCTTGAATAGCAAAATTTGTCACCATCTGACAGATCATTAGCTGTTACATTTACATTCTTGGTAACGGAGATACATGATCCACATGCTGATCAACAACACTGTGGCTCTTAGTGAGAGCCATCCATGTTTACAGAGTTGAAATGTACCAGTGGAGGTCATTTCAATGTTACACAAGGTAAACATACACTCAGAGTTTAAGTTTACTATTTTTTTAATCTCAAATTAATAGCTAAATCTTGCATGTTATCTTAATTATGTTGATCCTGAACCAGTACTACCCTTAATGATCACCATGTCCTCTTTTTAACATTGGTATGTCATCCTCCAATTGAGGCTTATAATTCACTCTTCCTTTTTTTTTTTTGAGACGGAGTCTTGTACTATTGCTGGGACTGGAGTGCAATGGCGCGATCTCGGCTCACTGCAACCTCCGCCTCCCAGGTTCAAGCAATTCTCCTGCCTCAGCCTCCTGAGTAGCTGGGATTACAAATGCCCATCATCACGCCGGCTAATTTTTTTGTATTTTTAGTAGAGACAAGGTTTCACTATGTTGGCCAGGCTGGTCTCGAACTCCTGACCTTGTGATCCACCTGCCTCAGCCTCCCAAAGTGCTGGAATTACAGGTATGAGCCACCGTGTCTGGCCCTCACTCTTCCTTCTTTTAGCTGAAAATAGAGAGTAGAAAGAGCTCTGGTTCCTTCAATATTCCCTGTTCTTTGGAGTTTATTTCCCTGGAGTTGTAAGGTATATAAGCAGTGTGATCTAGGAGTCTGCTTTTAACATAAAATATGCCTACTCTGGATTTCACTCTTACTATTTATTATTCAAGAGCCACTGAGTGCCCTTCGTGTGCAAGGTGGGGGGTCATGAGCACGCAGAACCACTGGTTTGAGGAGTTCGCTGCAGCTGGACATCCAGCTGTGCGACTCTCCAGGTCCTGGAAAAGCTATATCCAGCAAAGAATGTGTGGCCGGAGCAGGACTGAAACTATCTCCATGTGACTGATGTAGCCAGGAGCACGCCTACCTCACTTCATCTGAGGAACCGCGGAAGCAGAAAGCATTAGAAGGGCGGAGCTGTGGCCAGGCGCGGTGGCTCAAGCCTGTAATCCCAGCACTTCGGGAGGCTGAGATGGGTGGATCACGAGGTCAGGGGATCGAGACCATCCTGGCTAACACGGTGAAACCCCGTCTCTACTAAAAAGTATGAAAAACTAGTCGGGCAAGGTGGCGGGCGCCTGTAGTTCCAGCTACTCAGGAGGCTGAGGGAGGAGAAAGGCATAAATCCGGGAGGCGGAGCTTGCAGTGAGCCGAGATTGCGCCACTGCACTCCAGCCTGGGCAACAGAGCGAGACTCCATTAAAAAAAAAA